CTCACTTTAGAATTCTTGCCTAAAGTTGGGCTCTGGTATTGGGCCAGCGGTTTGTTTGTTTTTGGGTCAACTCAAATTTGGGCTCCCTCCGAATAAATAAAGTGAACCCACCTAAACGTCGTCGTTGTGTTCCCTCTAGTTTCGTGGATATCTTTCCATTTCCCCGTTAGATTTGCAAACTTTCCAATTTAGCAAAATTTTCAGGTGATTTCAACAGTGAAAGCAGAGCTCAGCTCACAGTCGTTAGTAGAGCAGAGCAGAGAGCCAAATGACTCTGTGACTGAAGCACAATACTCATAGACCCTCTTCTTCTTCTTCTTCTTCTTCGTCTCCTTCGTCGTTTCCTGGTACTTCTTATTTTCCTTTCTCATTTTTCGTTGTTCGGTAATGGCGGGAGGCTTTAGGGTTTCCAAGTACTGCATTTTTGGGGAATGCTTAGATCGAATGGATTTGGTATTTCATTTGCTTTGAATTTTCTTTTCCCTCTTCATATTTGTTTATCAAATCATACCATCCTTACGTTTATTGCATTTTGTGACGTTTATTGCATTTTGTGCATTCTTCCAGTAGTTTTATGTTTAACGTTATTTCAGTATATTTGTATATGTTTTTGTTTAAAACTTTTTTTTCTTCTATTTCAAGTTGAGGGTTTATATTTTAGCTAGAAAAGCTTTCAATTTTGCGTCCTTGTGGTATATTCATTATTCATATTTATTGTAAAATTTCAGTTTAGGTTAACTAGTCGAAGATTCCATGTTGTTTAGGACCCAAATTTTTGTTCCTAAATGGATGTTGCGTTTTAGCTTTTTATTCATCTTAAGAAGATCAACTGCTCTTTAGCTACTATCATGGCTCAACTTGTGTATATACATGCAGGTTTCTACAAATTAAGTTTTGCCGGCTGTCTTTGACTTTTCGCAATGGGAAAAACTCCTGGAAAATGGATCAAGAATTTGCTTCTTGGAAAGAAATCATCCAAGTATAGTTTGTCCAAAGGAAGAGAGGTATTGCTAAGCTGCACATTGCTTTGCAATCAATTAGTATTCTAATTAAACAGCACTAAGTTGAAAAGGATACGAAGTTGTAATTTCATGTCGAGTTAACCTAGGGAAAAAGGAAAGCCTGTCAATTGAAATTGTTCTATATATTATGTCATTGTGGCCTATAAGATGGCTGGTTGTTTAAGTAATTTATTGATTGAGCTTTTTTTTTCCCCTCAATAATTTGGTGAATGGATAACAAACTCTTGAGAGTGACCGTTTGAGTTAGTTTGTTATGTCTATTTTCTTTGGCAAGTGAATTGTCATGTTATATCTTATTAAGCAAAAACATAAACCTGGAAGTTCAAATTTCATATTACACTATAGTTTTAAATTTCAACTCTTAAATAATTTTGTAGTTTTGTTATTTGTATAGTTGTTGCTGGTCATTAAGTTCTAATTTGCAAATCTGATTATTGTGCACAGAAATCTACAAATAAAGGGAAGGCAATTGTCTCTTCAAAGTTATCTGTGACCGAGTTAACTGTGAGTGCTCCCCTAATATCACCACCATTAGTTTCACCACCAGTGGTTGGGACTGGTGCTAGCAATGCAGTAGACTCAGAGATCGGTGTAGCTGCCAAATTGCCAAATGATGGGATTATTCTTTCGTCTGTGAAGGAAGATGGCCAAACACAAGCTATCTTTAATTCGACTTCTCAGGAAGATCATGAAATAATCAAGCAAGAGCAAGCCGCCATAAAGGCGCAAAGTGCTTATAGGGGTTATGTGGTACTTTCCTCCAATAGATGTTCTGCTTTTGCTTGACAATTATTATTATTATTTTTTTCACATTTTCTGTTGTACTTCTGTGAGATGATTTAAGTAACTGATGAATTTATTTTTGGCAACCTTCCAACCACTAATGCTTTCTATTATCTTTGAAGGCTCGCCGTGCATATCGAACCCTTAAGGGCATCATAAGGCTGCAAGCACTTATTCGTGGTCACTTGGTTAGAAGACAAGCTGTATCCACATTATTCTGTGTCCAGGGGATTGTCAAGTTGCAGGCTCTGATTCGTGGTCAACTTGCTAGACATTCTGATATTGGGGTTGAAGTGAATAAAACTCATCTGGTAATTTCTGGTTACTTTTCAATTGGCTCATGCATTGACTGGAGCTTAGTGATTCATGCTTTTTGACCAGAGCAAAAGCCTGCCTTTGTATTCTTTTATTCATAGTTTTTTTGTTGAAATGAATATGCCAATATGATTTTTGTTATGTGTGAATCAGGGTGATTTATCTGAAGTAAGTGCATCTTCCCATGTGGAGAGGCTGTCAAAAATTGCTTTCGTTCAAAAGGTGAGATTACATTAGTATTGCCCAAGATACGGTTATTTTGTTTATTTGATATTCATTTCTTTGGTTCTTCATTACGGGAAATATACTGAAATTAACTTTGGTTTATAGAGTAACACAATCTATGACAGGGATTTTCCTTCTCACTATTGTCAGCACTGTGCTCTTGTTTCACTCTATTGGGGAATAGTCTGGTATTGTATATGCTTGTATTACTTTTAATGATGTTCCGCCAATTTAGATTATCATATGGCTCCAAACACCAGTTCTGAAACTAAGTTATGCCACTTCCATTTTAAGCTTTGATCTTAAAAACAGGAGCATGATGCACAATCTATGCCTGCACCTGTTTGTCACTTTTACTGCTGGTCTGTATTGGCCATTTGATTGCCAGAAAAAAGAAAATGGGCATTTGATTATAAATTTTCACTTTCAGCTTCTGGCTTCCTTGCCTACTACTAGTCCTCTACGTCTCCAATATGGTCCAGAGGAACCTAATTCGACCTGGGTGTGGCTTGAGCGCTGGACCAGGTCATGCTTTTGGGAACCTATTTTACAACCAAAGAAAAATCTCGATTCAAGGTCTCGTAGGAAGCATGAGAAGGGTCAAACAATAGAAACTGAAAAAGCCAGGCCAAAAAGAAGTGTGCGGAGGTTGTCCAATACAAATGTTGAAAATGGGTCAAAGAGTGCCACTCCAGATTCTGAAAAGACTAAACGTAATTTGAGGAAATTCTCTAGGCATCCAGTAAGCTCAGTTCCGGAACATCAACAAAATGAAGTTGAGAAGGTTAAAAGTAATGTGAGAAAATCTTCTGATCCCAAGAAGGGGGTTTCTGATCGGTCAGTAGTTGGTGATGAGAGATCAAAGCACAGTACGCTGAAGAGTTTGGCTTCTGCTGCTCCTGATGATTCAGAGCAGGGTACTAGTGAATTTTCCGAGAAAATGAAACATATGGCAGTTGCAGTGTCAAAACACTCCGATCTAGAAGGAAGTGTGGATCTGCTGTCAGCAGAAGAACCAATGGAAAAGTTAGATGACCATCCTTCTGTTGACGTGCTGCCCATGGAGAACAACGTCAGAAATGAAGACAATCCTTCTGCTGAGATGCAACCCATGGAGAACAATGTCAGAAATGAAGACCATCCTTCTGCTGAGATGCAACCCACAGAGAACAATGTCAGAAATGAAGACCATCCTTCTGCTGAGATCCAACTCATGGAGAAAAATATCAGAAATGAAGAACTTCAAGCAATAAATGAGGTGCCAAACTCTGGGGACCACTTTATTAGCAATGAGGATAAGAAAACAAGCCAGAGAAGGGCTTCTTTCCCTGTGAAGTTTGATAATCAGGAGAATGGTGTTCATAACACACCAAGAGTCCCAAGTTATATGGCACCAACTGCATCAGCAAAAGCTAGGCTGAGAGGACAGGGCTCTCCCAGGTTTGACCGAGATATGGTTGAGAAGAATGTTATAACCAGGCGGCATTCTCTGTCTGCTTCCACCAACACCAAGTTAACTTCCCTTTCCCCACGAGCACAGGGACTGGTTCAAGCAGCTGGCAAAGGAGTGATCAGAAGTGACAGATCTTTATCATCTTCTAGGGATGGTTTAGGTAAGTTGTGAACTCGAGGAGTTGCACCATGTGCTTTTCAGTTCCATGTCTTGTTGGCACTTCTTTTTCTTCTTAATTTCCATTCCCCTATGCCCCCAACAAATTTCGAAGCTCTCTTGCACATGTGTTTGTCCTTCTATACATGACACCTATCTGTTCAAGCATTTATTTGCTCATGCTAGTGTAAGTTGGGGTATTTTCAGGATGCACATTGACCCTTTGGTCTCAGGGTCAGAGAAGACTATGTTGAATTTAAGCAGGGCATATCAATTTTGTATAGTTTATATAATAAAATCGTGTACAAATTTTTTTGCTTGCTTCCTTATGGATCACATGTCTTGGTCATCTGCTGTATAAAGTTTCTTATCTTGATTTTATTAGGGAAAAAACATATCAGTCTAATAAATTGCTTGGTGTCATTGGACCATTTGAAATTTATGGTATGCTTTCTAATTGTCCTTTTATTGTGGGTAATGCCAATTTCAGATAAAGTAATCCAACCTGAGTGGAGGAGGTGAATTCGGACGCGGTATTGCTCCATGGAAATATTTCAAGAGAAAAAATATCAACTCATTTCCAGTTTCTGGTTTTATTGATGTTGTCACCAAGGTATAGTTGAGACCAAGATTGATTTGTTGTGTAATCAGTGTTCTGAAGTGCCTAGTTTGTTCTCTTACTTAGCATTAGGGGTTGATTTGATAGGTCTTGGTGTTTGGATAATTTGTGTTAGCCTTGATCCTTTGTGATTTTCCGTGTCATCAAATTATGTACAAATGTGAGAGCTTCAAGCCTTTAAGTTTCTGGTTTTCTTTTGCATGTTAAACACTCGGGGTTTTCTATTGGAAATTGATATTTTGATGCCAGAGGCATGTGTTCATGATCTCAATATACTACCAACTGCAATGCTCATAGATTACTGTTATAAGGCCACAGTGACATTTACCAGAAAGTCCATTGCTTATGCAATGATTTTATTATTCTTAAAATCTTTTTCTTAGAGGTTGAAGTGCAATATTTTACACCTCAACTAGTCTAGCCTCAATCTGAAGCCACATCTCTAAGATGTCTTCACAAAGAGGTTTCCCTCATATAACGCAGAAAGCATAGAGTGGAGTACCAGCTGTCCAAGTAGGGTGAAACTTGGCCAGGCCAACTGAATACCCACTTCCGACGTAAATACACCCGTAGCTTGCTGAAATACCCCCATATACTGGCACCAGTATTATACGACCACAAAATTCTTCCAGAGTGTGCTTTCATAGCATAAATGGGACCATTCGAAGCTGCAGACCCAGCAAAAAACAACGCCATTAGCAACTGTGACAGGTGCTTGGGCAGTGTCATTACTAGGGTTTGCAGTTGTCCACAAAATCTCCCCTGAATCTGCATCAAGAGCTACCCGTGCGCCAGCTGTTGTTGTCTGGCTTGAAGGTGCAAGAGTGAAGTTTTCTCGGTCGCCGTTGGCAATGTTTGTATACACTCTTCTCCCATCTGTGGCTGTACCCCATATGCCTCTCCCCTTTGCTGGCACCCGGACCCGCCAACTACAAAGTCCAGCAAATTTATTAGCCTCCGAGTATGCCACACTGATTTTACCTTAAGCGAAACACAAAACCCAACTCCTTTAGCAACTCATTTTACCTTAGACCAGACTATCGTTCCATTGTCACGTTCTAGTGCCCATGCAAACCCGCTTTTCTGCACGGCAACTACGACATCACGCCTTGTTCGGTTAGGGTGTATGGTGAGCAGCATGGGTGCCTCTCCGAAGTCGGCATCCAGATTAGGTCCCGGTGGGCAGTCAGGGTTGTTTGGTACCAAAGAAGCAAAATAGAAAACATCATATCCGCCAAGTTGCCTGGACCATACAATCCTCCCAGAATCCAAATCCAACGCCAGAATTGAATTGAAGTTGATATATCTGGACCAATGCACTGATCAGGATGGGTAGGTTTTCCTCTCTGGTTATTCTGCCTCTCTTGACATTTGGTCACCTCAGGTGGAGCTGTGTAGAGGTTCCCAGTAGCCACATATACATGTCTCCTGGATATATCAATGGCGGGGCTGCTTCCCCACACTGCAGCTCCTGAGTAACCTCCCAATCTACCACCGTTGTCCAGTAGCATATAAGTCCGCCATAAGATAACCCCGGTTCTAAGGTTGAGCTTCGCAACGCTACCCCGGAAATTGCAACATTGTGCCGCTGGTAACCCTTCTTGCAAAGACGACACCCCAACATAAAATGCACTGCAAAATTGAAAAATACATTGACAAGCCTAAAATACGCAGAACAATATGTAAAAGTTGAAATATTTGAGTGCTTGATTAGTGTACTACTAACCCTAAGTGTACGGTTCCGGACATGGTGATAAGAACTCTTGGACGTGGGTCAAGTTGAGTTGACCACACAAGCCTCCCATTTGATCGATCAACAGCAATCACAAGAGCAGGTCCATAAATTCCAACGATCAAGAGGTTACCGGCTATAGTTGGGGTTGATCTTGAAACGGTGACGTTCACAACAACTCCTGTTCCATTGAGTCCAGTTAAGGCACCAAGGTTCTGCTGCCATATTAAACGACCAGTGAACGCATCCACAGCATACAAATATCCATTCCATGAAGGAAAATAGACCCTTCCATCAGCTACTGCCGGCGTCGCAGATATGTCTTTACCAGCGAAAAATGACCATCTTAACCTCATGTTTAACACTGTCCTTGGGTTGATTAGCACTTCCCCAACAGCGTTCCTTCTGTTGGTAATGTCACCCCCGTGATTTGTCCACTGAAAACATATAATCAAAATTAGAGCAAAACAAACATCACATTCGAAGAATTAAGCTTAATTAATTAATTAATTAATTGGTACTTACAATGGCGTACGTGGCATCAAGAAGTGTAAGCCAACATTCCACCATGACGACCATTTTAATGGTGTGATGGCATTTCATCAGATTTTGTTTACAAGCCATGGCTGGTGAAATGGTTCTCTTCTCTCTGGCTATGGATTATATAAGTTTACGTGCTTGCTACTTTGGGAACCATTAAATCGGTACCAGCTCTACTTTAACCCAACTTTTTCCTAAGTATGTCAACCCCTCCCATCTACTTACACCCAACTTGCTACTGGAAATCTAAATATTCCAGAAAATACCCCCATTAAGACCCAAACCAGTTCTTTTAGTAGACCTTTTCTTGTCATTGTACATTAGGGTAAACTAAATTAGGAAAAAAGTCAGGTTTAAGTAGCCCCACTCTAAACAAGCTATAATTAAGTTCAAAAAGAGCTGGTTACATTGACTGAGTTTCAGCTGCTTACCGGGCAAAAAGAGTTATAAGTTACAGAATTTTGGTCAAAAAAGCTTACTGTATTGAGGAAGCTGCCTTCACTCCATGATGTCATCATATAATTTCTTTCACAAGCTTCAATATTCTCATGTCATCCGGGCTTTTGAGAAAACAAGCAGGGAAGTTAATGAAAACATGGTTATTTTATATTGGGCATGAAAGAACACACAATTCAGAAGCATGATGACCTGCAGAGAAATTAAGAATGTTAATTAAAAACCGAACTAATCACAATTAGACTAACCACTTTGGTATAATCAGCTGGTCAGGTGGCAACCAGAGTTCCCCCAAACACTTCAGTGGGATGGCATGCATGGAATTTCACCCTCAGTTGAAGGGTTTTGGAAAGCTTGATCCGAGTGAAGTGGTCAGGGAAACTCTAGGGGACAACTGACTTTCATTCCCTTTGATCTCCGTTTCTCTTGTTCAATTTGGTTTCTGGGTGAGCAAATATATGCACCCCATATTTATAACCTAAGGCTCTCATGAGTTCTAACTTTTCATGATTCTTAGATTAGATTTTTAGGTGGTCTAGGAGAACCATTGGAGATCGAGAGAAATTTGCAGAAGTGGGATTTTGGGCTGCAAGTGAACCTGGTCGCAATTGTGGGTCAGAATCAGATTCAGACGAAGGGTTTGAAGAAAGATATATATATATTTGAGGGGGGGTCATTGTATATATTCTCATTGAGAGAGCTATGTATAAAACACAAATTAATCCAAGCCAGATATGCATTGACTTTATTCTAAGATATTTATGCTCTAAGGTATCAACGTAGGGATACTTAGTTATAAAAATTGCATTTAATTAAGGGAACTGATTTTTCCACTCATCTTTTCTCCACTTATACTCTCTTTTGTTTTGTTTGTTTTGTTTTTGTTTTTTTTTTATAAATACTTTTTAATTAATTTTGTTCTTTTTTGTTCTTTCTCTTTCCTATTCTACACCTATCCTATAGTAATTTCTTTTTACTTCACTTTTATATTATTTATTTTTCTTTATACTTAATTTTCCAACTTACATTCTATTTTCTTTTTCTTTATGCTGTTAAATGAACATGATAATATTTTTATTTTATTTTTAGAAGACCTATAATGCTTAATGAAGTTGATAAAAAGTTGAATTAGGCATTAGAAAAAAGAAAAGAAGGGCATAGTCGGGGAGGGGAGGAGTTGCACATCAATTGTAGAAGTGGGAGCAACCCAACAACCATGTCAATCTCTATCCCAAACCATTTTCCCCACCGACACCCAAAGGCCCCAACTCTCCAAGCCACACTTACCTCCCCAACTCCAATGCACCCACCTCTAATATATAATAAAAGCTCATGCAGCCTTAGCACTCCGCAATTGTCCTTCCCCCTTCTCCACCTGTTGAGTAGTTCCTCCCCTTCCTGACTAAACTATAACCTTTTTTTTTCTTTCTCTTTTCAAGTTTTTTATTTTTATTTTTTCTAATGATATATTTTAGTTTAATTGAACTTTTAATGCATTTTAAAATTAATACAACTTTTTATTAACTTCAAAAAGCTTTATAGGTTTTCAAAATAAAATGAAAAAAGATTATCATGTTCATTTAACGGCAACTTTAATGGAACATACCAAATTGATTAAACTGTGGCATATTTTGACTGGTGTGGGGCCAGGTACTTTTATCAGATTGGCACTCAAGTTGACCATGCCAGCTTTTGATCACTAGAACCTGCTGCAACTCCATAAGAATATATTTATTTTTGTGTGACTGTGATATCATTGATGGGGTATATATATATACAGTCTCCTTCTATTGAGGGATCCCTCAAATAATTTTATTTGAGGGACGCCCTTTAGGGTACCATACAATTTTTTTCCCAATGATCCAAACTATCTATTTTTAAAGTCTTCATTCATAGATCATTTTTACAAAAAATTAGACCAATCGCAAACCGTTTCGACATCCACCTC